ATTTTTTATGAATTCAATAATGCACGTATATTTTGCAGTTACATTATTTTTTAATTAGAATCTATCCCTTTCTTTGCATAAGTCGAAGTTCCTCTTCATTCTGCGTTAAAAGTATTACGTTAACATAATCGAGAAATTATCATTTTGTCAGTTATTTTGAAAAACTAAGTTAGATAAGATATTCAAAACTACTTTTTCGTTGTATTCTAAATATTTCATAGAACGGTTTTTGATCGCTTTCATAATCTTGTGGTTTTGTTAATTAATAAAGTTCTTTTAATTACTATAATCAAATACAATACTTAATAATTTAATTATAAAAATCATTTGTTACTGTTTTGCAAGTTACGTTTATTGGTATGCAATAGAAAGGACGTGAATACGACGGTTTAATTTTCAAGTAAGCTTATAGAAAAAGGATTTAAATGATTGAAATCAGTTAAACTATTATAAAGATTGTTTACAAAAACAACAGGGAAACGACACAGAACATATTTATCTAAATACCTACATAGATAATACGTGATCTCGTAATGGAGTATTGAACATTTTCCTCAATATAGACATTTTTCAAAAATATCTTACGAAATAATAATTTTTCGATTATGTTACTTACATACTTTTTTATGCAAAATAAAAAGAGGATTTGGCCAATGCAAAGAAAGATATAAGTTCCAAATAAAAAGAAGATTGTAAGTGCAGGACCTTATACCATTCAATTTTGTCCTGTATCATTTTTTTATAATTTTAGTGTAGTGCATACAATAATATAATGAACGTTACAATGTTTAAAATTTCATCTGGAATAGCATAATTTGTGTAAATAATGTACATATACTAATAAATAGATACCATTTTTTTCATTATCACATTTTTATTATTATTTTACACTATTCATTTCATTGTTTTGCATAAATTACTTAATTTTTTGGTATTAGTTGTGAAAAGTATTAATTTATAACTTTATTCATTGCATTATCAGCCAAGTTTTAGTTTCCAGCACATGTACGTTTAAATAATTTAATTTTTACAATATTAAAATAACACGCCTCAATTAATTAGTTTATATACTAAACTTTAAGCACCCAATTCTAATTTAGTAATACCTACAATCGTACAAATTCGAAATATTTTCAAATTTCTTTTAAAATTTCCCCCAAATACGAATGTTTACTTTAAATACAAATACATAAGAAGATTTAAAAGTACAATAGAAATGACTATGTATTTTAGTAATCGTGTGCTTGACGTACGTTAAATGTTCCGCCCTTTTATTTCTGCACGTTAATTGGCTCCTTGGAATATAACGTACAGAGCGTTGAAGGAATTTGATTGGTCGAGCGAGGAATTCCTTTTGACTGTAGGTGGTGATAGGCTGGGTTGATGCTTCAGAGAGGTGTAATGGAGTTTGGAAACAGATTTCTTCGTGAAAGATAAACAGGAGGGAATGTTAGAAACACTCGAATTGTTGCCAAATAGTGATCGGTCTCCGCGGGAAGTGATTAAGTTTCGTTGAACTCTGAAGAAAACGGTTCTGACTCTTTTTACATGTTCGTTGATTAAGCTAGAAGGTACGTTTCGTTTTCTATACATATATAACGGTGGCCTCAATTTTTTTTGCTAAGTATTTCATCGTTCGACAAATTGCTGTGTGTCCCAATTGTCAAAGATTTCTTAAAAATTCATCCTTTTACTTGTGTATGATATTACATTCTGTGAAATGTCTACTAATTGCAAGTAGTCCGGTGTACAGTTGCTGTTAGTAGCTTTCAATTTAAGTTTGTCTATTCGTTACATGTCATCTGCGACTATAATTGGTTTTATCAATTTATATGACGTCGAGCTAATAATGTACTCATTATAATAAAATAAGTTATTATAATACTTTCTCTATTCGTTGTACTCGTTACTCTTTTATTTCCGGTGAAAATATGCAATTGAATGGGATTGTTGTTAAGCAATCAAACCTGTACTAATCCTGTTAGACCTCGTAAATTCTATGGTCACAGATTTGTATCATTTCAAACGGGACATCTATTTGAATTTGAATTGTATTCGGAGTACATACAACAAGTTATGGAAAAGTATTTCTCTCTTTCGTGTTGAATTATTTGAAAATTTTAATGAAGCTATTGTTACGTTGAGAATGATAATTATTGGATTAACATTGGAGTAATAAGTAGGAACCAGTATTGAATAAACGTAAAGTCTGGAATCAAGTATTTGAACGTTAGGAAACTTTTTGTGTGTAAGTTTATAAAAATTAATATCTTTATGTGTACATTGATGGAAATAATTATTAAAAATTTATCTTTCTCTGGAATTACAATTTGACAAGTGTGCTTATTAATTTTATCGAACCCTACTATACCGATCCGATCGCCATTTGCCGGCGTTGTCCGAGTTATACATTCACAATTACGAATTGGGAATACTAATTTATTGTGCATTCCATTCGATTGCTTAAATTTGATATTCTTGCAATAGTAGTTCTCTGTTTTATGTGAAAGTGTGTAATAAAGAAACCTTTTATTATTGTGTATATTAGAATATCCACGTAACGTAATACTCAATATAATATGTAAATTTATGAAGTACGATTTTTCATTAAGAACAAACGCCATCCTAACACGTAGTTGTTGAAATAGTACACCACATTTTTTGTTTTAAATATTAAATATCATATACTAGCGTAATATTTAACTGGTATGAAAATGAATCAAACTGGTTAAACAATGCTTATCAAAAAGTGTATTGACATAATTTGTAAATTACTTCTCGACAGTTATTTTTAGATAAATTAAACTTTGATCACGTGACTTGGTAGGATTTATCAATATATTGTGAAATTCATTATTAGCCATTATTATAACTTTGACTAGCAATGACATTAAAATTATCAATGTTGGAAATACTTTTCACTGTTATTGTAAAATTTATATTTACATTAACATAACGTATTTATATTAATATTGATAAATGTTTACAGGACTATAGTTATTACTATTATAATTTATATATATATACACATATATATTATTCTTATTACTAATTTTGACTATATAAAAAAAGAAATGGATAGAGACGAAGTAATAAAAAATGTACGAGCATGTTTAATATCCTCAAAGGGTGGTGTTAAACTAGACCACTTAAACAGTAAGTAAAAGATAAATATTGTATTTTATAATGTGAAATGGAAATTAGAAAAGATTTCTTTTGAGTATTCATTATATTTTTATGATTAATTTAGATTTATTTTAATAGTATTATTTTATTCTCTTTTCATTTAGAAAATTCATTTGATTATATATTGAATCTACTTACATTTATATTGAAATTTTTATAGGAGATTATAAGATTATTCTTGATGAGAATATACCATTTAAGAAGCTTGGATATCCATCTTTAGTTGCTTTTTTATCTACTGTTCCTGGTATTAGAACTAACGAAAGGGGAGGAGAATATTTTATAGAGGCTATACCCACTGAAGAATCAGCGCATATTTCAAAATTAATTTCCCGACAGAAAACAACGTCAACTAAGAAGAACAAGAAATTGGTACATACATGTTTATTTATTTTAATGTTTGTCAAATGTATATTTGATTTATTATACTTGTGTAATCTGTTGTAGGTAAATGCTCGAAATCAAACACCATATCGTCAGCCCATAATGACGAAAAAATACCCTCGACCTACAAGAATTGCTATTGATACTACTCATATGATTGGAAGGTAAGTGGGTATAATTTTACATTTGGAGGTTACACAATAGGTACAAATGATTTTACATTGTTCATTTGTTAACATTTGTTTTTTGTTTTATTTTTTTTAATCCTATTACTAAGGGTTAAAATAGTCTCTAATTGTAATCCCCATATAGTGCAAATTATATTATTACATAACAACAGTATTCAACCATTATTACATGTATATTTAAATAAAATAAGCTTTGTATAAGTGAAGTTAGTCAAATTTTTTAATTGGTTAATTATATTTTTAAGCTGCTGTATAGTGGTATCATTTTGGACTGTTCTGATGTTGTGAAATGGTTATATTAGTACTAATGTATGTAATAATTCAGTTGAAAAGATTTTTATAAATATTTAAATGTTATTTAGACAAAATGCAATGCCTGCAATACAACCAACAAAAATTACTATCTATCAAAATAATGAGAAGCCAAGATATATACAATCTAATTCCGGTGTACCACTAGTATCTCCAAGTAAAGTAAGTAATGTTTAAGTCTTGTATACATTGTGTTCTTATAAAAATATATTACTCATTTGTATACATTTTTAGAGACTGAAAGACAGACAAGCAAATCTTGTTACACCGCCAAACCAAAGTTTGAATAAACCTAAAGATGATTCACATCTCAAAAGCAATGAAAAGGTGGTAACACCTGTGATAAATCAAAAACCAAAGACTGTTAATAACAATTCGGATACTTTCTCTAAAGGAAAATCTTCAAATCTGAGTGAAAGACTCAAAGTTAATCCTAATATACCTTCACTGCTTAATATACCCGTCAGTATTCCTTCACCTCCCCCGCGATCAGAAGTATTGTCGCCTCTATCACCTGGACAAGCTTTAGCAGATGCTAAAGTAACACAGTTTCAGCAATCTCCACCTAATTCAGTGGTAAACAATTATTTGGTATATAATAGATATCCATAAGTGCAGGTAATTGGAAAATTTAGAAAATTTAATTTTTATATATCGACAAATATTATTTTCAGCCACCGATAATTAATACCAGAAGAAATGTATCAAAACTGCAACCTAACGATCCACGAGAAGAGTTAAAAAGAAAAACTAGTGCTTTAAATCTTCCAGAACCAATATACCAGATTTGCCCTACAAATATTAAGAATGCTAAAGAGCGAGCAGTGTTCGCGCAAGTTAAGGTTTGTGAAAATTCATTTAATTATGAAAATGTGTGAAATTCCTACAAGACATTATATGAAACTACATAAAACTTTTACAGATTGGACCACATGGATATTCAAGTTATCCCGAAGAAGCGCGTACAGAAGATGAGGCGGAGAAATTTGCAGCAAAACTCGCTTTACTCGATCTAAACGAAAAATATGGATCACCGTTCAGACTCAACGAAACGAAAGATAGGCACATAATCAATGACCGAGTTTTATTTATAATAGATGCCCATCCGAATGGCATTTTTATGCATCAAGTACCTATCTATTACAAGCAACAATATCGGGAAATTCTACCAGGAAATTGGGAGCAAATCATCGAAGAATGTCCGGCAATAGTTTTAGAGAAAGGTGTTGACAATTCAGTTATTCTACGTAGATACATTTCATCTACCGAAAAAGTAAGAAAGTCAATCGATATACCAATGTTACGTATACAGATTCGTAGATAAAATAAGTATTACTACTTAATAAACTTATCTTCAGATAAGAAATGTAAGTTCATCTAAAACTGATAAGGTGCAATTACATCCAATTGGACCTCCTGCTCCTGGACAATTGCAATTACCAGAGGAAGACATCTGGCTTGTGTCTGTTACATACGTCATAAGTACTACAGAAATTTGGGCCAGACTTGTAGGAGAAGCATACAGCGTAAGTTCTTTTATCTTTTATGATCTTCTTTCGTCATAGAAATTTTCATAAATTCATTTGTGTGGTTTATACAGGATCAATTTGATATTATGACAGCAGAAATGACTCAGTATTATAAAAAATTACAACAACCTGTTAAAATGTTACCAATTGAAATTGGGAATTATTACGTGATTTTTGAAGATGACTGTTGGCATAGAGTTCGTTGTATCGATTATAACGTTACAACAGGAATGGCTACAGTTTTATTTATCGATTTAGGAGACGAAGACACTTTTCATCATAGTAGATTACAGACGTTAGATAAAACATTTTGCGTGCTTCCTGCTCAGGTATAATATCTCTGTTCAAATAAAAATTGTTTTAAAAGTGTGGCATGACAGAAATGTTTTTTTGTTAAACGCGATGTTAATTTTAAACTAGGCACTAAGACTTTGTCTATCCGGTTTCGAAGACTTCAGCGAATGTGATAGTATTTTGGGCCAAATCGAAAAATGTTTACTTGATCGTGCATTGTACGTTGAGGTAATCAGTCGTGACAAAGATGAAAATGGACCATTCGTGACAGTGGTGTTTCAAGATACACATGGACCAGATGATATTAATCTAAATTCGGAATTGTCTAAACAAATTCTACAACAGATCGTGGTTGCTCCTAAATTAGACGTCGTATGTATTATATTGTATTTTGTTTTTAAAAATATTTCCTAAAAAAAACTTCTACAAAATAATGTTTTCTGTTATTTATAGGAGGGGCAAGTGTCCGAAGTATTCATTTCTCATATAGAACAAAATGGCGATGTATTTGTACAAGTACAATCCGAAAGTATGAAAATGTTAGTAAGCCTATTAAATCGGTTAATATGCACCGGCTTGAATGCGGAAGAAGTAGAAAGTTGTGCAGTAACTACAATTGATGTCAATAAAACATATTTCGTATCAGTAAACAACAATTGGTATAGAGGAAAAATCGTGAGCCACTTTTATGATTCATTAAAAGCGTTCTTAATCGATTTTGGTAAAACTGTTACGACATCAAAAAGCAATCTCCTATCTTTGGAAAAATTATCTGAAGTTCTAGCAAAATATCCAGCACAGGTAATTTTATTTTAATGAAATTTGACGATACTGCACGCAAAAAGATAATTTACGTTTATTTCTATGTAATAGGCTTTAAAAGTACATCTTCACAACATTGACAAGTCAATGTTCAATGAAAAGATGGTTGCGAAGCTTACTGAGATTGCTCCTAAAGGTGAACCTCTTCTTGTGAAAGTCGTGTCATCCGAAAATAATGTACCAGTTGTGGAGTTATTTAAACGACTTCAACCAAACAATATGCTTGTTTCCATCAATAATACTGTCGCTCTTGATGAGCACACTAGGTATGTTGCATGTTATATATAATACGTTAAGTGCCCAGCTCGTTTTGTTTCCCGTTCCGTTCAGGCCCACTTTTTTTATATTATATTCTTTTTCTTAAAGCATTGACTGAACAAAAACCGATGTCCCCTAAACGAAATCTTTAGTCTCACAATCAGTATGCAAGGGCAGACCTGCACGGTGCTGTAACATGAACCTAAAATCTGTGGCCGGTTCTTGAGGACCGGCGTGGCACTTAACATGTTAAAAAAATATTTATAAAAATATAAACGTCTTTAAAAAATCTTAAAATGGTACATGTTAATGTTATCTATTAATCATACTTTAATATTTTCAGGCCACAGGGCGACGGAAATAATAATATAAAACCAAGGAAACGTATCGAACGTGCCAATTCTAAACTCACAGCAAACGAGGATGATGAAGTTAGGTCCCTAAAACCACCGAAAATATCTGGCATTGGTGAATATTTCGATGTACATGTAACAATGGCTGCTCACCCTGGAAATTTTACTGTCCAACCATTCGATGATAAGCGTTCGTTGGAAGTAAGTTTACTTTTAAATTGTTGACATTTAATATATTGTTAAAAATATAATAATGACTAAAGGCGACTCTCAGTCACCGTTTGGCGTGACGTAGCAAAACTATAAAATTTGATATTCAATATTAAATTTTGTGTAATGCATTAATGCATCAAATATTGAAATAAAATAGTTCTGTTTCTTAATTTATTTATGATTGCTCTTCATGTTGATTACAGCAAATATGTTTCTATTTTATTCATAGTTTTATTTATATTTATAAACAAGTTTTGAGTGCAAACAGTTAATGAGTAATTGTTCTTGTTTGTAGACGATGATGATTCAATTGCAAGAAGCTTGCCGAGCGTATAAAGGTTCTGTTCCAACTGCGGAAACAGTGAGAGAAGGCAAGCTTTATGCTGCTAAACACATTGATGGTCATTGGTATAGGTATAAATAAAAAAATTTCTGAATTTATGCCTTTTCATCTTATTTTTCTGTTTCAAAATGTTCAAGTTTATCAATGGTTCTGATCTGTTATTTTAATATTCAAGGGTATGCATTTCGAGTATAATCAAAGAAAACATGGTTAGTGTTTATTTTTGTGATTTTGGGGACGTATCGGTACTGCCGTTAAATAACTTACAACCTTTGAAAAGTCAGTTCTTAGAACTTCCATATCAAGCTATAAAATGCAGGCTTGCTGGTATGTAATTGTTTCCTTTCTTTGTTACGTTTAGTTCTTACTTTTTTAACTTGCTAGATCTATACTTTACTTCGTACATTTTGTTAATTATTCAAACAGGCATACGACCGATTAACGTTGACTGGTCCGTTGAGGATAGTTTAAGGTTTCAAGAATTGGTTGTGGAAAGAAATTTTGTCTCGATAGTTGTCGAATCGAAGCCTGACGGACTTACCCCAGCTGATACGATATTGGGTTTAAAATTGATTAATGTTAGTACAGATGACGATGTTCACATTGATCACGTTTTAGTAGAAGAAGGTCGAGCTGTATTTACTAACTAATTTACTACTCGCATACATTAATAGTGTTCATTCGGATACGCGATTTGAAATATGATTATAGTGGCTCAAGATTTGACATAGTGAAACTGAAGAGGCGCATTAGTTTCTGACATCAGAAATGAAAGACACTTTTTTCCTATATATGTGCTAAAAAAACGTTGTACAGATTCAATATTTAATCTTTGAGAATAGGTACTTGTATATAAAACTAATCTTTCTACTAAATAGTATTTGAAAACCACTCAACTTTCAGCGACTGCAAATAAAAGTATAAGAATAGAAAAGAAGCTGTATAGATATGCTCATACATACCTATATGTGTGTATGAATATGCATGTTACATTACATTAATAACTAGATTTATATTTTTGAGACATTATTCTCTTTTTCTTTTACTTATTCTTCAAGTAATAACTTATTGATTGGAGACTTCGATTTAAGCTTACGCTTAGATTTAAGCAATATATTAATATTTTTAATGGGTATATAATGTTCTACTCAGACGAATTTCTTTATAAAGTGTACAGCGATTACGCACATTTATTTCATATATATTTTTTGACGTTTTCTATTTTTCCATTAGAGTAGAAATATTTAACATCTTTATTCCGTTTGTCATGCGTTGAAAGGTAATGTGGTTATAAAATCTGGCTGTGGCATGTCAAAGACTAAAGAATTGATTTTGTGACAATTGACAGCATTCCATGTTTGACATATAATTATTTAGTGACTATTATTTTTCTTCTATCTTTAGCTTCCTAAAGTTCTAATATTAAGAAACAGTTATGTATCCTAGCTCTCAATAATCATAGAACCTTCTGTTCTGTATGTGATAAAAAGTTTTATTAGTTCATACTATTTTGTTTCCTACAGCAACATCCTTTACTATTGTCGATATTATTATTATTATTATTATTATTATTATTATTATTATTATTAATATTATTATTAATATTATTAATACTTATTTAATTTGCTAACATAATTTAATGACATATAATATGACAATATTATTATATGGAGTATGTTACAGTTGTTTATAGTTTATATATTGTAAGTTTACTTTATCTTAAGAAGCCATTTATTATGTTCCATGTTTTTGCATCAGACTTAACATGTACGCGACATTATAATAACCTATAATATTATAGGTATTAGCTCATTACAATGCTTTATGAGGAGTATTTCTGTTTTGTGAAATTAGTAAGGTAATACTGTATCTGTCTCTCAATTTACATGGTACTTTTTATATATGGTTTATAATAACTTTATAAATTAGGTACACGTTTACTTAACTATTAGTTAACTACTAGTTAAGTACTTTATTACGTGGAACTTTGCTTTTACAAGATTTCAGTTTTATACAGTTAAAAAATATTTTTTTCTACTGCTATATAAGTTGAAATGATTATATGTACTTTGGTTCAGTTATAGTTACATATACGTTGACCACATTCGGACGCATTTTTTTCGTTTAATTTTGGAAATTTGTGATGTATCTCCTGGTATCAACAATTCGATTTATTTATAGAAAGAAAGGACTATGTAAAACGTATCCTTTATGTAAATCGAGCGATAGGTGTCTAACTTGTGTTACGTTTTGGTAAAATATTATTTTTGATAATGATAACTTAATAAAAGGTGCCAATAAATACTAATGTTTACACGAATATGATATGAATTATTTTAAATTAACGGTTTCCTATAAGTTTACATGAACAGAATATACAAAATGTTAACAGTGTAAATATATATTTTGTAAGATAAAACAGTTTTTATGCTCAGAAAGATTTATACTTTTATTCAAATAAATAATTATATAAAATATTCTATTACATAATATACAATGTTCAGTATCTTTAATTTTTAATTATATATAATGTAATGTATATTGACCCAGGTTCTTAATAATACTTTTATGAATGAAATATTAAGTTTTAAAAATTATTTTGATACTTTGTTTTTTAACTTGCATACTTACAAAATATTTTTATATCAGCATTTATAGTAATTATTAGAGGATATATCACATGAAAGTAAACATATATGGAACGTTATTCAGACCTATTTATTAATTATCTGTGCACGGTAATATTACACATTTACTACTAAAAATATTTGAGCTGTTTATGGGCCAATATAATTAATTTTTTTTGTGATTAATTCTTTGAATTTTTGTTTCATGGATTTAATAACTTTGGTAAATAGCTCATTTATTGCATTTCTAAGTTTATATGGTATTCACAATGTCTGTATCAACATCATAGATAAAATAAAGCCATATCATGATATTATATTATTTATTAATACTAATAGAGTACTGATAAGAAGACTAGTGTAATTAATAGTGTGTATAATTGTGTGATGCAATACATATTTCCATTAGTACAGTATATAAGGTAAACATTAGAAACATAATAAAATGTCTATTGAAAGTATACACTTATTAGAAATTATGTTGTAATATTTCTTAAATTATTAGATTGTGTATTTTTTCCAGTAATATTTCTCGTTATTGCCCTTGATTATTATGTTACTATTTTTTTCTGTAAATGTAATGATTTTCTTTTTTGTTTTGACTCGAATAAGGTTTTCTTTATTTTTACGTTTGTCAAATTTGAAAGTATCTGAAGTATGAACTTCTGCTTAGGTGTAGTATTATTAGAAGGATGTTGTATTTAGGAGTTATCAGGCTTATCTTCTACCATACATTTTTTTATCTTACACTATACTTTATTGTAATAACTTAATTTTTCTTATTTGTACGTTATTTTTTTAAATGTAAAAATATTAAAAGTGGCATAATATAGACGCTATAGGAAACACACTGCAGAAGTTAAAGGTATTATACTTTGATTTATGAAAGAAGAATTTTTAGAGGTGGTCCGTTTTTAAGCATGTAGTTCGGTGCGGAGCCAACTGCGACAGCAAAACGTCGTACAGTACGGTATTCTCCCAATAGCTGAATGTATAAGGAACAATGTCCTAAAAAATTTTTTATCTTTGCAGCACTTGAAAATTGGTGATCTATTGCGAAAGTTAGGCATTTTTCAACTACGCGTTTTACTCTTAAAATTTCTCGCAACACTTATCATATGTTTTGGTAAAGTTGTAGGAATTTTTCTTCAATATCAAAGTTTTCAGGTAAGTATATACTCTATCTTTAATAGTTAATTACCTTTCTGCCATGAATCTTTATGTAAACATCGACATTTTAACAATTACAACTTCAAAAATGATTTTGTTATAGATCAAAATGCGTCCCGACGTTCTTTCAAGCATGTTGTATTCCGTAAGGTTTTGAGATTGTTATCTAAAAATAAAATTCTCCACATACATCCGTCTTTTCGTTATAGAGTGATTTGTTTACCGCGGCGCGTCGTGATTAGTGTTTCGAAAAATCATTTTCTAAGCTCATTAAGTTTAATACTGCCAAATAAATTCTTTTCTTATAAATTTATATCACTTTCAACTTCAGAAATTTTTCAAGAGAAATATTGTCATTTTTTAATTTTTATCACTAGTACAGAAGATTTGCAGAAAATCAATAAGTTAAACAGTTATATATTGTTTATGACTTATTATTCTGTATTATACGTTATATTATTGTATATTACATCATGAAATATATGATATATATGAAATTATATATCATTTATATTAATAAATTTATAAGGAGGTCCTTGGAATGAGAGAAAGGGTGGGGAGGAATGAGATAATGAGAGTGAGGTGCGGCAACGGTATCAGAGCGTAGAGATCAGAAAATAATGGAAGATAGGAGTAGAAATGAAGGCAAAGAGAAAAGAAAAGACGATAGAGACGTGCGACGTTTTGGGCGTTCCATAGGCGGAAGAAGGAAAAATGGTTTAAACAAATATAAGGCGGAGAGAAAGTTTGCCGATGTATTCCTGAAGGGAAGAAATAAGGGCCATATATATATATAATAACAAAAATATTAATAAATTTATTGTTATACGTTGTACAATTGCATATTATTGAATATTATTATATTACATTCTCATATTCTCTTGTAAAGAGTCGATGTAAGCCTGTCTTTAATTTTAGCCGTTCAAATCGGGCAAATACTCTACTATGCGACGTTTAGAACTTTCAACAATATTTTTTATTTTAAAAGATATTAATCATGTACAGTTCGCTCTTCCTTTCTGTTGATTAAAAAGTAGAACTCTTTTAGAAAATTATAGTTTCAGTTTGAACATTACTTCTCAACATTATCATAGTAAAAGAATTGTGCGTCCGATTATTGCCATTAGCAGGACATCAAAATATTCATGGTTTTCTATGCAGTAAGAACGTAATATAGGTCGTAATATAGATTTAAATAATAAATATACACTAGTATGAAAAATTAAGGGATAACAACATTTTCTGTGAAAAATTGCCGATCTTTAGACTGTAGTAACTTTCTAAAAAAATCGGTAACATTTGTTTACCACATGGAGAACGCTTATCTACTAGTTTGAGCGTTTTACCACGGATGTCGCTATCAGCCAAAGGCGCAGATTTTCGCAAACATAATTCTTGCATTGGAAAGCTTATATACTATACTGAAATAAAAAAGAAATTTCCCAATACCATATTGCCTTTCTTCAGCAACGCTGAATTTGAAGCAAATCGCTCGAATGCTTTCGTTACCAGCCTCGATGAATTTCATACAAACCTAACTCTCCAATCTCGATAACAACGTAAATTTTAAAGTCAAAGAAGTCTAGATCGCCGAGGAACAACGTTGCAAAGGATCGTTAATAATTAATTAATATGAAATAAAATTCTATTGGAAGTGATATGGAAAAGTAGAAATAATAATGAATTATAATGATTTCGTTGTTCGTTCTAAAGGCCATTGCGTGCCTTTCTCTCTCTCATGTAAAATCATGTCTTTGCCTTGTCGGATACCTTCTTGCTTAGCATGCTTCGCGCGTAGGTACCAGGGACTGATGAGATGTTTTTTCAAAATAGGTGGCACCGGGATTTTCTTCTCCGTCCTTGTCGCACAGTGGCTCTGTCATTGTCTTACTCATTGCGAAGATAAGTAAAGACACTTCAAAACGTTCACCGCTAGATGGCGACTCAATTGTCATCTAGAAATCACCATTCATCTAACGGCCACTGTCACGTATACGTGATGCTGCCCCTGACAACCTGCAACCAGTATTACGCGGCGTAATATAAATATCAGGTTGAAATATTAAATATGTTATTTATCAAATAACAAATACGTTATTTATATATGTATATTATCAAATAACAAATATGTTATTTTGACAAAAGTTTAGATTCTATCATAGTGTTTTAAGTAATCGTTTCAGTGCTTATTTTGACAAATGTGTTATTTTACTATTACTAATGCAAGTCGTCGAATTGCACTGTTTCATTTTTTTAAGTATTTTGTTAGCAAAAAATACAAACACCTTAGTTCTTCTATGTAAAAGTAGGTGGATAATTTTTAATTGTGCTTACGATGGATACTTTAGCACACGTGATAAAATAACAGAATTTATGTACGTTGAATTATGTTTAATATTCTAATAAATATCTATAAGAAATTACGAGTATCTGGAGAATTCTAATATTAAGACAAGAAAATAAAAAAGAACACGTTTTTTATTTATTTATTTGCATTTATTTGTACTCCGTTAGCAAGAGAGTCACGTAACGCCACGGCCGCGTGACAAAAATTTACATTGGATGTTTAGATTATTGTGTCTCTCTTCGGTGATACAAGCATTATCAAATGCACTAAAAATTTACAAAAACATTTAAAAAATTTTAAATTTATAAAAATTTTTGTTAAAAAACTATGTACAAATACAACAAATGATTGTATATACGATTAACTCCATCGACTTAGTAAAGAATAATTAAAGACAGAGGAATAATTATCTGGAAGTAAGTTAAGAAAAATATATCACTTCTGTGGTAACGCATTGTACTGATTCTTTATTAGTGACACGTATAATAGACGTGCTAGACATATTACTGTTCCATAACAAAAATAATTACAATCGGGAACCTTAGAAAATGCATCATATCAAACTGGTGTAAACGACAGTCCATAATAAGTTCCTGTGTTTGTACATGTACTTACACAACTGGTTGCTAACAGTGGTCCGTGTTTGATCAGCGAATCTGGTTTGTAAAAAATATGAGATATGAAATTCCACCGTTCATAAATCATTTCAGAATTACACAAAAACTCATCGTTTTCGCTCGTCTCTTAATTTCTTGTTGCCTACAGATCTCCAATTTAGTAATATTAACCCTGCTACAGTTTTCAGTTTGCCAATGCTTCTGAAATATCGAAATACTTGAAAATTTTTTCAAATATTTTCAAAAATTTTGAAATATTAAACAATTTTTTAAATATTCAAATATTCGAACATTTTTGGAGCATTAGAATACTATTTTCCAAATATTTAAATATTCGAAATTTGTTTCCAAATTAAATGTTGCAAATAAATAAAATATTTAGAAGTTATTCAGAGATTGAAAGTTTCTCGAAAAAGTAATGCAACGATATTATTGTGCTCTTGTTAAGTTCAATAGTATTCTTTGAGAACGTTGAAAATACCACTGAATTGGGAAGGAATGAGCAAACTTAACACTACAAAACGAACGGAAAGTGATTGAAAAACTTCGAACAAGATCCGAAGAACACAACAGGGTTAAATCAATCGAATTCGTTCGCGTATATCGACACCGTGTAATGTTAGTCTTTTACGAAAGATTTCTCGGAGAGCGTACAGTATGACGATGACGATGAATAATGCAAAAACTGCTGAATAAAATGTCCCTTACTTCAACACGTTGAATGAGATATGCGTTAAGGATGATATAAATACTCGCAACATGCATGCTTGCAATTCTTGCGCCTGTATTTTTATATATTAATCCTCGATGCAATGGCGATTCAATTATTTGAAGAACACCACGTTACAATCGATAACGACGCGCAAGTGTTACATAAACTTCGTAGAAAAGGGAAACGGTCCAGAGGCATCTCTGTGATAGTAACAATTAATAGTAACAGTTACCTCGGCTAATTACGACGAATATCAAAATGCTTTGGGATCATACCTTTATACCTTAAACATCGACTATTCACTATCCGCGGTACACAGATTCATTCGGCTTTTAATTGACGACTCGCGAATACCGGAATTACAAAAACACAATTGATAATTACCAGTACAATAGAACGTTAATTATCTGAACTAATTGAGAGAGCAATCGAGATTTTTCAGATGATCGCTTCGAAAGAACCTTTGTCAACATCTCATAAATGAACCAGAAATTAAATAAGTCGTTATGATATCTTATTTATCTTTTAATTTCAATATCATTCTTTTTCTTTTAATATTCACTGTATAAATGAAATCTGTAAATACGTATGTATTTGTACATGATACTAAACTCGGACACTTGAAACCAAGAAGATACATATTCCAAAATGTAAACAATTTCGTATATGCATAGGATAATCGACGTTTTGGATAATCGGTGTTCAGATAAATAAGGTTCTACTGCAGTCTTATTGTGATTCACTATTTAACCACAGACACCGGTGTATTCATAACATTACAAGTACTGTAACGATACATTCAGCGAAATTATCCTGATCGCTATCTTATTTGGATCAGTATAATATTCAAAATCTAATGCAGCGTTGCTCAACCCTTTTGCCATGCAATCCAACAAGTTTTTTTCATAATGATGACGCCGTTAAAATGTTTATATCATCAATTTTATAGTACACGATTTATCGTACAAAATCGTCAAGAATGTTAGAAGTTAAAAATTATTAAGAAATTAAGAATGAAAATTAAAATGTCTTTATATTATATAAATATATGAAAATACACATACTTGACGGTAACTTTTACACGTGGCAAATAACATTCCGTATGTTTTTTCAGTGAGGACTTCAAACGAATTTCTAATAAACATTACAATTTAATCCTCCACTATTTACATTAAAAGACAGGCAAATGTAAAACTAATGACTTTTAATGAAACAAGTTACTTTGTACGTATTACTCATTAACAATAGAACTACCACTTCTGTATGAATGACTAGTTCTGATTTTCTTCTTTTACAATTTACTGAAACTGTACGGATGTTCATATTCAATGTTATTTAAAAAAAACTAAAAGAATGTTAATTATAATTTAAAAAACAGTTTAATTTTAATTCTGAATAAAAATGTTAATAATGGTTAAACACATTTTAATTTCAATTGAAAGGTTTAAATCTTAAAAAACTTCTAACTTTTATGAGAAAGTAGATATAAATCATTTTAAACACTCGATTAATCTAGTGTTTAGAATCCAACACGGTTCACAGGTCGAGAAACGCTGATCTAATGGATCGACTACTCTGTATTCGAAAGCTGTACGCTATGAACATCGAAAGGAATACAAGTGCACTTACTCGTTATGTATCTTAATTAATAAACACGTATTAAATAACGTATTCATTTATTCATGAAACTCGTGTGCCCTCCTCGATGGACACGACATCAATGGGAAAAACATTTTCGCGTTCGTTACAACGATGTTTGGCAGTGTACGTCTCTTACTGTTTATTATGAATCGTATAAAGATAACTGTACAATTTTAAATAGTTCACGGAATTAATTATTTCGTTCGTATTCCATCGTTCGCACTCGGGCATGCGGTTTTCTATTACACTTGAAATAATAATCGATGAACGTAATATAATTTGCTCGGAAACAGTTCAATCTACAAAATAAAAATTGTTCAATAAATAACCGACTATCTCCTTCGTCTCGTACCTGCTCTTATCTAATTCGTACAAATATAGAAACACTTATTAGATAGACTATAACCCTCTACGATCAATTATGCTTCATAACTATCGAATAAAAAATGTATCCGCTCAGTCGCTACATACACGTCGATAATGTTACCTCTGCGTCTTTAATCGAAGCTAGGTCTCATCATCGTGCCTCATTCTCAACTGACTAGCAGACATTCAGGAAAATCGAAACAATCGGTATTTTCCGAAACTTGTTTCTCGCAATTGTTTCTTTCGCTATGATTTATTATTTATTATAAACTCTGTGCTCGCCCAAGGCCACTTACACCGATCTCAGTCACGTTAATATGATAGTTTTAAGTGTATTTTTAATTTTCGGACAAACATTGCTGCTCGAAGTTTTAAATAATAATCCCCGGCTGTTTGTTTTAATTGCACATTATATTCATACGTTGATATGAGAAATTGGTTCGATACTTATTTTGTTTATTAAAAATGTGATTTAAGTTTTTTCGTTATTATAGTGTGCCTCGTTCTAAACAATTCAATCGAAATGGTATAAGAGAAATATTTCTAACATTTGAAACTGTTCTACGATGTCGAAGTTTGATTAAAGTTTAATCGAGGAGACAATGATGTTACGTGGGAAATCAGTTTAAAATGTTAGAATTAATTTTGTTCATATTATTCATTTTCGAGGAATTAGAATTATTTCGATTGATTATTGTGTCTGTGTAGCACTTGCCGTTTCTACTTACACAAGAGTACTTACGAGGGTTGTATTTATATTAACTGTTTCCTGTTGATTAAATAATTTTATGGTTATCAGTTCTCATTTAGTTATTATACAGTAATGCTATTATAAGATATGTAAGTAATTATTGATAACAATTAATCAGCGGCCTCAAGCGAACGATTAATTTTGCTCCCTCTATAGTTCATCCGCCAGTTTTTTGATAAAATAGACGAATTGCGGAGATACTTTTTAAGGTTCGATTATTGGATTTATCGTCGCAGGTGTTGTCGGTGTTTCGTGCGACGTGTCGTTTAACATTAACGTAGTAGTGGGCTCCTCTCGTGAATTCTGATCTGCTCTTCTGCCTCCCGGAGGAATGTACGTCCACCAGGCCAGGAAAAAGAAAAGAAGGGAAGCTGCTTTACCGATAAAAGCCAGCGCCATCATGTACCTGAACCAGCAATCATTAAAATTGTTCAGAGTTTTCATTATCAATACATACATATTCAAGTTTTCATATTCATAAAGTCTTTGTACTTATTGCTCAAATGTAATAGTGCAGATGGTAAATCAGCAGTAACTAAATAAAAAATAAAATAATAAAAAAAACCTTTCTAATTTTTTAAAAAGTGCAGTCCAAAAATATTAAATCGTGCATTTGATAGTAATATTGTGTGTATTTTACAAAACCTATTTTATGTGTTCTGTATACTTTAATATATGTAATTGTCAAACTTTAAGTAGACATAATGTATAATTCTCTGTGGAGAGTTTTATTGAAGTATACAGAATTATATTAGAAAAAGAGTAGTAATTGGTAAATAAAAATACTTGTTAAAATAAATTTCTAAAAATATAAATAATCAAGATTATAAGGTCCGTCACTGTTGTCTACTAACTTATACTAATTATATCGAAAGAATAAACTGAAAAAGCATTTTAAATTAGAACCTCTGTACCAATTTGTTAACAAATATTACAAGTATTTCATTATCCATTAAAATTAATTATCAGCCATCTGTAGGTCCTTTTTCAGATAATCGTCTAATTGTAAATTATCTAATATCTGTCATATGTCTAAGTATATTCCTCCAAAATTTTAATCTTTCTAATCAATCAGCAACTCAAACATAGTAATATACTAGAACAATTGAAGTGCCGTTGGTTCTATTGTTCCTAGAAAAATTGATGTTCGTTCGTTCAGATCCTAAAAATCGGAAATTGAAAGATAGACAATTAAGATATACACTTGTGTAATTGCGTTAATCAAAATTGACATAATCATTTACCAAATAATGTTTCTCAAATTCAATATGTGTCAAACTGACGCGTCCCCTTGTTAATGTACATAAGTTGACGTTAAGCTTGTAAGATCTGTTTTCAAAAACATCCTGAATTGTGATAAAATATTTTACCTGCTCATATACAAATTGTCGTAAACAAGACACGCTCCTCTGCCTTCGCACGTCTCGTTCCACAAAATGCAAGTGTCATCTATTAGCGCGCCGAACACCATAGGCGCCGGAATGGTACCCAAGATCCTCACTTTGATCCATTGTATTCCTAATGCAAATGATCGCTGATCGTCTCGGACGACTCGAAGCGTCGCGGATAGCGCGGGCATCGTGCAGAGAAATGTGATGAACATGTTACAGAAAGCTAGGACAATGAAGGGCCATAAATATGAGCATGTCGTGTTGCAGGTAGTGTTGATCGCCTGGTAGGCGATAATGGCGTTGCCGGATGTCATGTTCATAGGTGGCGCGCGTATGCAGGTGCAATCTGAGTAAACCTGTGAAATGAGAGCAAACTATTTATTTCAAATTTACTTAAACGAACTGATTCATATAAAGTGTTAGGTCTACTGGAAAGCTCTGCCTGATAATCTCATGTCAAGTTTCCAAAGATGAGTCATTCTACAGAAATGGAATCCATAAATCACTCTGGCAAGAGGTCATTAGTAACAATGGGAATTATATTGTTCAATGAATATTTATAAATGTATTGAAAATATATTATTTTATTTTAATTCGAAAACGAACAGGGCTTATTGATAGATTTGATATTATTTAAAGTATTTATTTAAAAGATAGTTTCATATTCTACAGAAAACTGTAAATACATTTTTGTGAATTACATATTGACCATTAAAAACTCTGCTGAGATTAAAGTCACGTGTCTGAGATTGATGGAGCCTTTACTATTTTGTTTAACTATCTTACTTAGCTTTTCAAGAAATGTTTGTTCAGTATTTTAACAAACTGTTGAATCTATTCTAACTTATCAATACAGTAATTTTTTAAAATTATAGTTCAATCTACGTATTAGTTTAAACAATTAGTATTAGTTAAAGTCGGACATTTTGAAAATGAAAAAGAGTTTAAGAAGAACGTAACTCAGTTTGTCTTTCAACTGCTTGATAGACTTTTATCTCGTTTCAATCTTGAGATTTAAATAAACTGTAAAGAATTAAGAATTTAACAAATTACGAAAAGAAAACTTATAACAAGTGCATTGATTTATGAACAGTTCTAGTATTAATCTTTTGCAGTCGATTTATTTTCAATGTTGTTAGGTGTAAACTTGTATTTATTTTTAGGAGAATGAATTAAAGTAATTTACAGCGGTGGAATTCAACGTTTTATATTTATTTTATTTATTATTATAATAAGATTTAATTTTTATAATCTTTTAAAGTATGGTACTTTTTCAAACAATTTCCAACATTCTATAAAAAATTTGTATTGTCATTTCCAGCATGACATACGAGTGCAAAAGGTTAAAGGAATTCTCAACAGGGTTTTAGCAGAGTTGATTATATTGTTCCAAGAAGTAATAATATCTAGACATTAATATGCAAGCTGATTGGAACACAAAGGGGAGTAAGTACTAACTTCAACGTCGTTTATCTGCGTTTCTTGATAACAACCCGCGTGGCAGGGAGAATAGTATGTAATTCCGTCGACCCCGCATATTGGATTGAACTCCGATCTCGAGCATCCGCATCCATTATTGCACGCATCGTCCAACGAGAAAGATTTCCTGGAAATTCGAAACTTGTCATAAACTGCGGATTTTCTACATTTACAACACTGATAAATGTAAGAAATGCGATAAAGTAAATTTAACAAAACATAAATAATTATAATTAACATTAAACGTACCAGCATGTTAACTACTAATCAAATTTTTGAGGAAGGAATATAATTTATATATTATTACTATACTTTTTATATATTTATACTATTTGTATATTAACATTTAGAAAAGGAATACAATGATTTTAAAAACACAACTTTTTTAGTAATAGTTGTAGATAGCGGTTGTTAATTAAAATTTAATATCACCTTCTAAATTCTATTCAAATTTAAGAGTATCATGTTTTTAATTAAAGAAAAATAATAATATAACAGCTATAGATGAATAACCATCTTCCTCTTTTTCCTGTAAACATTGGAAATAGGAAAATATTTATGAGCAATAAATATTATTGTTGATGCAAAAGTTTTATCGTTTTTCATACGTGGTTAAAGAAAAACGTTTTTCTTCGAAACAAATAACATCTGTTTTCAAGTTATTATAATGTATATAAAGAGCACTTCCTTTTCTGTTTTTGCTCAGTTTTGGTTTAGCCAGCGAACATTTGACAACTGTCCCTTTTGTTTCTTATAAAAAATTGTCAAAACTTTTGCGTCAACCGAATATTATTTCGTTGCTCATGAATTTTACCATTTTGTCTTTCTTCGACAATATTTGTTTTTAATCGATTGTTCGTGAGAATAAAATGATTTATAGACGGTGTGCATAACAATAACGTACTTGGGTTGTTCGGAATATGGGACTGTAACTCCAGCGAAGTTCAAATTCGGACAATTCAGCACGAAGCACAGAGTGAAAGCGATACAGGATGCCGTTGCCAAAAGGCAGAACTTTAAAATGCCCGAGCAGGGCAAATTAAACCGTTTTATGAGATAACCGCCGAGGAAAGTACCGCCGCCGCCTGCGGGAACTGTAACCAGACCTAGAAACGAAAAAGTTTCATTACGAGTTTGCGTCCAAACAAATTTCCGTCGGTTACGAAATTTCCCTAAATTAAATACGAAAATCGGCAAATATTACCAGGATGTACCTACGTTTAAAAGTTTAGGATCTATTACTGTATGAGTAGCATAATCATATTTTCTAATAGACAATATATGTGAATGATTGGGAGTAATTTAACATGAATTTTACGTGAGATATGGACCGGCAGATGTTCGATAATTGATAAAAATGAATATTGTAAAGAGTTAATCTTCTTAAATAATTTGTTTTGATAGATTGACAGATTAATTACTTGATAGAAATATGTACGTATAATTGATTTATAATATATTTATAATGGAATTGTAATATTATTATATTTAAAATTTAATTTTTATATTTTTGTAACTTTTTGTCACTTAGAAGCACTTTAAATGGTTTCTAATTTTTCCCAATATATTAGGTTTTTTGGAATGTAATAATATGTACGTTTCAAAGTATTATTTTTCCTGACCCTTTCGGAAAACAATTCATCATAATTGTTATTTTTCCATAGTTTTGTACAGTTTTATATAGATTTCTGTAGTTTTATAGAGTTCTATATAGTTTTATATAATTTTATATGGTATTTATTACAAAACTATACATAAACTATATAAAACTATATAAAATATATATTAGCTCATCCCATAAATATTGCGGTTTCTTACATTCCCTTTATATTTAAAAATAAAAGGAATATAAAAAAACGCATTATGTCTTTTATATAATAGTTTTTTAAAAATATATTATATAAAAATATATGAAAAATATATTATGTACTACACTTTACAATCATTTATA